AAAAAAAATGTTGAATATCCAAAATAAGTGATGAATTAAAAAAAACGAGCAAAAAAACCACGTCAGTTTCCGTTTGAAACAGTTTATCTCGAAAACGGTTCAAAATAGAAATAGTATTATCTGAACAAAGTTAATCTAAAATTGGATGTAGAACTCAAAAATGTTGAAATATACAGGGTGTTCCATTTGAAAAAATTGAGTTCCACTCAGATTTTCATGAGATCAAATTATCTGCATTTTTTTAAGACCCTGTATGAGGCAAATAAAAATATGACTCGAAAGATTATCAGCATTTATAAAAGTTCATGTTTGGTAAAAAAATATCGAAATTAATTTATATCTTTTAAACGGTGATAGATAGGTATAGGGAAATAGTATATGAATTTGTTGACAAAGTGATAATGAATCATAATATGATATTAAATACGGGGTGTTTCATTTGAAAAATCAAAGAAGCCGCTACTTTTTAGTAAAAGCAACAACGCCGCTTCGTCTAAAATATTTTAGGCGTGTAGGTCATATTGATTTATGCATACTGTGTAATTTTCAGGTTGATCCGTTAAATAGTTTGTCAGAAACGGCTAATTAACGCTCATCATGAAAAGCCCTGTATATACATCTCCCAGAAAAGAGAAGATTGCATCGCCTATGTTTTTATGGCTTTGGAATCATCAATTTATCGAAGTGAACTAGAAGATTGTATTCTCGGCATACATTTCGCTAATACTATTTTCAGATGGTGGAGGGTGAAAAATTCCCAACAAGTTAAAATCAAAAACTTATTTTCTCCACAAAAAAATGAATTTCTGTATGTTAGTACAAGGTATTGCACGAGTGAAATCATCAACATCATATCTTGCCTCCCTTACTGTAACTTTCAAATTTTTGAGGAAAATCCAAAGATTTATTGTGTTTACTATTCCGTTTCTTAGAAAACACAAGTTTCAGGGTGAAATTTTAAATATATGATGGAATCGGCCGATACTTGATGAAGATGAAGAATAAACTCCAACGATTGATTCAGTTTAGACTTACCGAGAAACAGGCCCAAAGTTTGGAAAACTATTCTAATCATAAGTTTTTCGACAGATTTGTAAATCTATCCGGCACAAAATTTGCATTGAATGAAACGAGATTATTAGAAAAAGGTCTCAGTCATAACATAAAACCATATATTAATTCTACGACCGTAGAATGTTTAGGTATAGAAACAGAGCTGGCTCTGAGAGGTACCTGTACTTATAATAAACATGTTGCTGCAAACATTTTGAAATCTGAACCGGTTGATCAAATTCAGTCTGATAGAGAAAGTAAAATTGCAAAATCAATTAAGCAAAAAGTTAAAGATAATGAAGTGATTTTTACAAGAGCAGATAAAGGTCGAACGGTTATTGCATTAAATAAAAAGGACTACATAGAAAAAACTCTAGATTTCCTTAATTCAGGAAGCTACGAGATTCTGAGGAATGATCCGACAACTATGTACCAGAAAAAGGTTAAGGAAACTCTCAAAACAATAGAATTGGTTATGAATGGAAAGGATAAATGTAGAGNATATTGATTTATGCATACTGTGTAATTTTCAGGTTGATCCGTTAAATAGTTTGTCAGAAACGGCTAATTAACGCTCATCATGAAAAGCCCTGTATATACATCTTCCAGAAAAGAGAAGATTGCATCGCCTATGTTTTTATGGCTTTGGAATCATCAATTTATCGAAGTGAACTAAAAGATTGTATTCTCGGCATACATTTCTCTAATACTATTTTCAGATGGTGGAGGGTGAAAAATTCCCAACAAGTTAAAATCAAAAACTTATTTTCTCCACAAAAAAATGAATTTCTGTATGTTAGTACAAGGTATTGCACGAGTGAAATCATCAACATCATATCTTGCCTCCTTTACTGCAACTTTCAAATTTTTGAGGAAGATCCAAAGATTTATTGTTGTTACTATTCCGTTTCTTAGAAAACACAAGTTTCAGGGTGAAATTTTAAAATAAGAAGTACCTCACGTTTTGTTTTGTCATCTTTGTTTCGGCTTCATCAGCCGAAAGTAATTCAGAGTAATATCATTATGGAAACTTTTTAACAATGATTTCCATTGTTTCGATAATTGTTTTGATTCAAATACTTTCTCAGATAAATTAATCGATAAGATAAATATTCGATTACGAGAATAAGAATTGTAACATTGATTAGGATAAAAAAAATACAAGATTTGTTGTTTGAAAATTCAGAATATTAGAAGTGACGCTGATAATTACATAATGTAGATAAGAAACCTGACGAAATATTCAATATTAATGAAGTTAAACTGAATAAATATGATGAAACAATGAAAATGTCTTTCGAAACTATTTGTTTTCAAATCTTTTTATGGCTTTCTATTACACTATCAGTAAACAGAGATTATGAGAAACTTTCAAATAAGGGAAGAAAGAAAATCAAAATAAGGTAGGGCATACGGAATTTTTTTCAGTTACGAAATGAAATAAAAAACGCTTTCGAAATGACAGCTCTCATTTGAACATTGAATTATATGAAAATCACTTTTCCTATTCATTTTGTGATACAAATATTCATTACGGATTTGAAACAAATATCATAGGAACCATACACAATTGGGATCGAATACTATGAAACTCGATGGTGTACTTTGAAGTTTTCGAACAAAACACTTGTCTTACCACCTCTCAGCAACATTTTGGAGAACAGTAGAACACGAGTACTCTTTTCTTCCATAATATTACGACTTTGTTTCGCCGGTAGTGACAAATATGCTCCTACAGCGCTCTAAGAGCGCCTCAAGAATTTATCAAAAACACATTTTCCGCACCAGAACAATTATACTATATCTTGACTCAAATTGTGAAAGCTCAAGTCATCTTTCGAGAAAGCGAACTTGATTAGCGAAACGCCCGTCAAGAGACAATATTTTTGTTCTGGGGTAAAAAAATTATTTTCAATAGATTCTTGAGGCCCTCTTCAGGCGCTACCTAAGCAAAATCAATGATTCTGGCAAGATTGAAGTGTCAGGCTGTTTCTGTCAAGCTTTTACTGTCTTCTAGCTCCACAAGGAAGAGAAACCGCCACAACCAGTACTTGTACTTCCCTACATCAGAGGATCATCGGAAAGGGTAAGAACGATTGGGTGCAAGTATAACATTAGAACATGCTCCAGATCTGGGAACACTATCCGTAGCAGCCTCACGAAAACCAGGCCACCAAACGCGGACTGCGATTCCAAGAATTGCATTTACCGGATACTCTGTGAGTGCGGAGAATCATACATCGGTAAAACTAAGAGGCCATTGACAGTTCGCATTGCTGAGTACAAGAAACACACCCAGCGAGGAGAAACCAGCAAATCCGGAATAGCAGAG